CTGTGCATTTGAGAGCCGCATTTGTGAGTAGTAATTTTGCTTTGCTATCAAGCGGGTTTCTTGTGTTGTGTACACGGATGGACGGACGAATAGACTTGCTCCAAGTCTCGCTCGTTATTTTTTCCGTTGGCGAGTTCAAATTTCGGCACTTCGGGTACCGACAAATTTCCGAAGGAAATGGCCGAAAAAAATGAAAAGCGAGCGAGACTTGTAAAACTCGGCATCTCATTAATATTCGACAAGTTGGCGGGAGCTTTGATTGATATGTCTCCGTTTGCATTTACAGGGGGGACATACGCGTCGACGTGAGCCTGTAAATATTGCCGATTTATTATGGAAGAGACGAACATTACGCCTATAAAAGCTATGTAGCCTGAATTCGAGGACTTTAGGAGTACTTGTTGTATTGTTTGTGCAAAAGAAATAGCCAGCCACTACAAAGTGCCAAAAGACATCATTCGGCTTTTCAATCCAGATAATAAAAAGACTTCGTTTTGTATTGAGATCGAAAATTATTTGTTAGTGACTATTCATGCCACGGACTTCAAAGTTATTTGTAAATCATGCCCCAGGAGCATACGTTCAGCCTTAAAAAAATCATTGAACAACGAAGAGATTACTATTAGATGTAATAGGAGATGGCTCATCGTAATTTGAATGAAGCTGACAGATTTTGATTCCTAAATTTTATAATTTTCTCAACTGATCTCGCATCAAGCAAATCAAAGGCTGGATGACGAGAATTTTACACTTTGTGGTCTTGGATAAGACAAATCTCTTGTGATTTGGATTCAAAATCCACATCATTTTTACATTGGAATGCTTCGAAAGCTAACGGTAATAACTCAGTGATATACAGTGGACTTTCCTGAACCCGTTGGGTGCGAAATAAAACAATCTTTTCCATCAAGAAGAATGCTAATAGCTTCCGTCTGATAATTTTAAAGATTTTCTAGCTTTAGAACATTCGTAACTGCTTCGATGGCTTTTTCCCCATAACTTTTGGACTAATAAATACAAGAACCAAATCAAATTTTACCAATGGTCGACGATAAATGACAAAGTCGTGCAATGCGACTCCCCCCTGACATAGATTTGGTCTCTCATGTTCTTGCTCCTCATTGGTTGAGAATCAGTCGATATATTACGTCAGCGGACAGAATCCTGTCCGCGAATATTAATGAGATGCCGAGTTTTATGAGTCTCGCTCGCTTTTCATTTTTTTCGCCCATTCCCTTCGGAAATCTGTCGGWASCCGAAGTGCCGAAATTTGAATTCGACGACTCGCCAACGGAAAAAATAACGAGCGAGACTTGGTGCAAGTGTAACGGACGAACGGACGGACGGACGGAAGGTCAGTCCAGCCATGAAAAATTAACTCGATGGTTTACCATTTTTTCTTAATTAAGTATGGTGCTCCGCTCTCGCGGGCCGCGAGCGGGAGCTCCGCTAACAATAATTGGTAATTTTCTAAACTAGAAAAGATACTTTATAACTGAGGAAATTAAGTTTAACGTGTATGAGAAACACAACATTGAATTTTACCTTCGAATGGGTTTCATTGATACCAAAAATTGGAAATCAAGGTCTCATAAAACACTTGCCGTTTCCATGGCAACAGTACTTTTGGTGACCAAATTGTTGTTGTTTTTGTGAATCCCATATAATGGCCTACTCGCACACCAAATTTGAAGGGTGGTCAAAAAGTTTCATTTCACACTTTGCTTGAGTCTTACAGAGACCTACTCTTAATAGTTCATCTGGGGCCTACATTTGGGCTAAGTAAGAAAAAATTCGATTTTTTTTGATATTGCACACCTTTGGTCGATTTTTACAGACCCCCGCTCAGTGTAAATATTAGTGTATTAATTTAAAACAATAAATGTCAAATGTTTATATGGGTTGCCTGTTAGATATCTATGTGTGAGCCTGCATTAGCCATGGATTTCCCTAGATTGTCCCATTGATTATAACTACCGAAAATCACTTTTTTTTCATTCTACCCATGCATGCCTGCAACGGTTTACTTGCACTATGCAACAACTTGTTGAGTGTTTAGTTGGAAAAGGAAAAAAAAACGAAAAAACAAGTGCAAAATTTTAAACAGGTTACCTGGTTTTCATAGCTTTCAAAACAGGTAATTCCGAAGAAAATACCTTCAGTTTGTATAAGYTATTTCTAGTTCATCAGCCCATCGAATTCATAATACGTCATGGGATTTTGAATATATGTCGGGCGAGCCAATAAAAACAAAATGAAAGCACTATGATAACTATTTTAACCCACATTATGGAAAATACACCTAGGCCAGGGAAGGAACAGTGGACTACCGCCTACTATAAGCTACTATACAACTGCTTTCATGCACTCCTATGGATTTGCAGCATTTTCAGTGTCCTTGGACAACTGTGGTGCTGTAAGGCATCAATGTTTTCAATTAAAAACCTAAAGCTGGAGAAAAAATTTAGAAACAAATGCAATAGAGAGTTATAATTTGTGACTGTTTTTTCTTCTCTCTTTTACTGTTCACTACTCTTAAAGCTTAAGAAATCCACTTGCGAATTAAAGCAAGTTCTTGTTCACGGGCGGCGGTAACATCAGGTGGATCATTGGGGTTAGAAGGCCTGAAATAAAAAAAGAAATTTTTTATTACTTTTGGGAATTTCCTCCCTTTCTAATTGGTCTATTGTCTGGGGAAATAGGAGGACGTATTGAAAAATTACCTCAGCACACGCGCGTGCTTGAAACAGCTTTTCTGACAAATTTCCCCTTGTTTTTTTTTAGTAAAATTGTTAATTTTCCGTGGTACGCTTCATACATCCAAAAGCTATATAGTGTTTAACCATAGTTAGAAAGACTACAAAATACTTTGTATATCATAGATATCCATCAAAATGTAGTGTTCCCTCGAATATTTGTAATTTCTTAGCAAATTATCCTAAGCTCGACCCGATAGTCTCGTTTTGATGCTACGCTCATCACAATGCCGCTGGTTTGTTGGGGTGGCGTGCTCATCTACGATAAGGGCTATTTGAAAACGCCGGCTAGCCGTATTAGTGTGGACGGAAAACTTTTTTTTCGGTTTCGGTTTGAAAATTCGGATTCAAATTTATCCAGCATAGTGTGGACGGGGCCTTACAGTGTTTGTACTCTATAACCATGAAACTTTAGCAATACTAAATAGTACAATTTCATGCAAATTTTATTGTTTTCTATTGCTTAATTAGCACTATTTTGTACTATTTAGTAATTAGTGTTTCACGGATTAATTGTTTGCACTCTA